ATATGACTAAGCCATTCGTCTTAGAAACAATGCTTAGTTGCCCTCATCTATTTAATAGCCAAGTTATATATATCTTTCTTAGTTTGATATTCAAAAGTGGGCGTAGGACCGAGCCATTCGACTTAGAAACAATGCTCATCCGGCCCAGGTTACCTTCAATTATAACTCTTTAATTATAGTCTTTTAGTTTGTGATAAGGCTATAGTCCGACCATTCGTCTTAGAAAACAATGTTTGGTTAGCCCTGTTCTCATAATCATACATAGTATAGAAATATAAAGAGTCCTATTGCTTTGTTCATGTTAAAATCCTGTGGTCTCAGACTTAGACCATTCGTGTCAGAAAGAATGTCTAGTCTTTGGCCTGAACCTCCCTCAGAAATAAAACAACCAAAAGGATTGAGCCATTTGTCTTAGAAACAATGCTCAACCCTTTTCTTGCAGCACTAAAAAAGCAAAGCTTTCCTGAAACCACCCACAAAGTAAACAACGGCTAGACCATTCGTCTTAGAAACCATGTCTGGTCCTTAAAGTTTTCACAGTCAATACCCCTAAAAGAAACAACACTCAGGCCATTCGTCTTAAAAGCAATGCCTAGCTGTGGAGAAAACAAGTCAAGAAACACGTTGACCAAGCCATTCGTCTTAGAAACAATGCTAGGCCCTTCAAAAAATAGAACAAAACATAGCAGTCAGGGCATTCGTCATGGAAACAATGCTTGACCCTTTCAAGCTCAAGGAAAACTGCCTTCCATCCCCCTTCCCCCAGATGCAACCCCTTTTTCACAATCTGCTTTTAGTCAATCAATAACACTGAAACCGAGATTACACATGCATTCCTTTACTTAGCCTGGTTTCTGTCCCGAAAGTCAAACCTAAAGTCAAAGGTAGGGGTCATGCAATACACTTAGTCAAACATAGCAAAATGTACAGGTAGGGGTTATAATTGGGTTTATAAAGGGGAAGCAATGGTTACCTCTGAGTTCTTCGCCTCTAGAACTCCTAAGTTTCGATAGAGCTCCTGCAATCGGTGGGTTGACTCCCCATAGAGTCTTGATGCGGACCTACGGGTTGCAATCCCGCCTGCTGCCTTCCTCTCAGAACCAATTGACCAGACTTAGAGTAAGAAGGGAAGAAATAAAATCAGATCCAAGGGAGTTGCACTCAGACGCACGGGAGAGGGCTTTCAAATCTTCAGCGCCTGAGGGCCCCGCAATGATGGCCAAGAGTAACAGTTTGGTCAGCCCGAAGTCAAGCTGCTGAAACAGACTCTCTTGGCGAATATCCAAATTGCAGCAATAATCCCCTTTGCAAGCTTAAGTCTCCACACTACCGTCTCCCTCGATGAAATTGCAGTCCCTCGACTCCGAATAGCTGTCACAGTAAGTTGTCAGCAATTACCAGGTAATAGCCGCATACAGCTAGGAGCAATCAGCACCACTATCCCAGCAACTCCCTCTAGGGGTAACAGCCGCGGTGATGCCCAACAGCCAGCAGCAGCAGCTGCAACCTGCTAATGTGGACAACAGGAGTAACAACAGCCGAAGGTGGCACAGCAACAAGCTCAGTACAACAGCGAGTTCCTCTCATGTGGCATTGCAACAACCGTAACAGATGTGCTCAACAACTTCATCATAATCAGCCGAGTGTCACTGTAACACACAATGTGATGCCTGGCTACAATACACAGTAACCGGACTCGGTGTTAAGGCATGGCAGCGAACTTTCGCAAAACACAGGGTATGATGCTGTCAACAGGCCATATGCAGCAGTATCATCATCCTGTGTCGTACCAGCAAATCACCAAGATTCGTAGTAGCCGCAGCAACCGTTTTTAACAGAAGCATCGATAGGGCAACACAACTGGTCCTTCAACCAAGGCACAACAATACCCGGCTTACGCAGCCGGCATGAGTAGCAGCAACGAAGATGGCACAATTAACTAGCTCAGTGCAATAACGAGCCCGTAGCAGACTGTAACAGCGAGCAGGGGCAAATGAAGTGCGTGATGGCCTGGCTACGATACTGCGGCTCGAACCCCAGTCGCCCGCTACTTCAGTTCAACAAGACGGTCCGTGCTTTTGCCAAATTCCTCGCTGCCTTGCCTCTCGGTTACCTCCTTCGTTCGAGTGAGCAAATTGAGAATGAATCTTCCGCAAGAGTATGGACGGGTTCAGCCCCTTTCTACACTTTCTTCCCTCGTCCGTTTTCTCTCCGATTCGAGCCTTCCATTCGAACACATCTAGCCTAAGGTAAGTCTCGTTTGTCCCGGCTGCCTCACCACTTCGATGAGCAAACTCGAATGAATTTACTGTTAGAACACGGCGAAATGCATTTGGCCCGACTCGCCCGCTTCCACCGTAACACACTCCGAGCACCTAACCTTTTGTTTAGCCCCACTCCTACTAATCCATTGTCGAAACTAACGCTACCACAACATTCACTCAATGTAGATTCTTCCCCTACTCGAAATCGTCGAGGAATGAACGAGGTGGCTACCCCCCCTCAAGTCTGTATGTATCCGATGTGATTTCGCGTCCGGGTTCACTCTCTTTGGTTGCCTGTTTCCCCACCGCCTTCGTCTTCGTCCTTTCCTTCTTCGAATGTACTCGGTGCCGACTCCCGTCCGGATTCATTCACCCTTCCCCGCTCGTTGCCTCCTTGCTGCCTCTTCGTCGCTCTTGCTGAGTGCCGACTATGCGTTAGCGCAAGTGCTAAGGAGCGCATAACAACTTACTCGCCGAGTCAATCTGCCGCGCGATATCATAGCGCAGAACAATCCGATAGTGCTTCCGCATAGCTTGAGTGAACGACCGCCGCCGCCTCTCCTTTATACTTGCGGCTGCCAAATGTCAACCCTCTACCTCACAAGTCCGTGGGAATGCCCAGTCCCCCGTACGACATGTATGGCATTGCTGTGTGGTACCGCTGCAGGCCTCCTCCATAGGCTTGCTCTACTCAGATATAGCTCCCTGTTCAAGCCCAGCAGGCCTGCCCATAACTTTTCGTAGCCGATTCGTGGGTAATCTAAATTGGCCTGCTGCTAGGATTGCGGGCCTCAGAACTGGTAACGGTCCCAGGGGCAAGAGTGGTGCCAATAAAAATAAAATAATAATAATAATGAAAATCGAATACAGAAACCCCCAAAGGCGGTTGGGGATAGAGGGAACTGTCGAGGCTCCTTCAGTCCCACCCAATCGGGCCCGCGGTTGGTCGATCACAAAAGCAAAGGGGATAGTCCGACGGGACCCGCAGCCCCTTCGCTTCCTTTGCAACGCTCCGCTCTTTTGTCGTTGCTTGCTGCTGACCTCGATCCCTGTATCTCCCTGTCGTAAGTTCAACACCGTATCTTTTAAGGCTAACTCCAAGCCTGAGACCAGCAGGCGAGGAACCACATATAACCCGGTGCAGCGTAACGCTCAGGGCCTAAGAAAGCGTGCTGGGCCACTTCTCCATCTGCAGCCGAGCGCGCGACCGCTAAACGTTTGCGTCGGCCTGTTGAGACTGCACCATGACCGCCATGCGCACCACTCCGCACACCTAACCTACCGCTGGTCGAACGTGTCGGATAGGAAGGAAGAACTTTTAATATCCCTACCTTAATCAGCAAATAAGAACCAGGCCGACCGACTATGTCGGCCTCACGAACAGTACAAAAGGAAAAAAAAACTCGCGCGCCTTAAAACTGTGCGCCCACACACTCTTTATTGTAGTCAACCTTCTAGTCAATGTAAGTCACAGACGCGGTCGCTCCTCACGTGGTGTACTTAAATTTTACTCCCAACTTATTTTCTATCGCTTGCAAAACCCAGGGCGGATACCCTTGTAAGGGTATTTGCACCGACAACAAGTACGCAACGCAATGGTACGTCGACATCGACGCGCCGCTCCTCTACATCTGCATTCAGATCGGAAAGGCGACCTGCAGTGCCTTGATCGATTGTGGAGCGACTCGCAACTACATCAGCCAAGACTTCATGGGACGCGCCGGGCATTGCTCGTGCGCTCGAAGGAAAAGTCAGCCTACGCACGTCATGTTGGCCGATGGTCACACTCAAAAGTCAATCGATCGATGCGTTGACTCGGTGCCGGTGTACTTTGCCCCGCTAGCATAGGAGGCCGTGTCATTTGACATGTTGGACACTTAAGTTCGATATGATTCTAGGCATGTCGTGGTTGCAAAGCGAAGATCATTCGGTGAACTTCCATCGACGCAATGTTCATGTTCGTGATCGACGTGGCGAATTAGTTCCGAGTACGGTGCCGCTTCCTCATCCTTCGATTGGTTGTCACGTGGTCTCCGCGACGAGCGTTCGCCAATCCATCCGGCGGAACGACATTGAGGAGATGGGCATATGTTTTCTTCACGCCCTCCCACCCAGTGATCAGCCCAAGACGAATACGTTGGACCCACGAATCATTGAGCTGTTGGACAGCTATGAGGATGTCTTCCAAGCTCCCGCCGGAGTAATACCGGATCGGCCCATATGCCATGGGACCACTCTGGAGAACGACCCCGCAGCTCCGCGCGGATGTATCTATAGGCATGAGCGAAGAGGAGCTTCGAGTGCTTCGGGCACAACTATTCGACCTCTTGGCCAAGGGTTGGATTCGCCCTAGCTGTTCGCTATACGGTGCTCCCGTTCTCTTCGTTCGGAAGAAGAACAAGGACCTTCGTCTGGGCATCTACTATCGAAAACTTAACGCACAAACAATCCAGAACGCGGACCCTCTCCCTCGGATCGATAATCTTCTCGAGCGACTAGGCAGCGCGAAGTACTTCTCGAAGCTTGACCGCAAGTTCGGATACCACCAAATCGAGATCCAGCCAAGAGACAAGTACAAGACCGCGTTCAAGACGTGATATGGGCACTTTGAGTGGATCGTCATGACTTTCGGTCTCACCAGTGCCCCACTACTTTCCAAGCGGCTATGACGACGGAATTTCGTGACTTGCTCGGTCGTCCAGTACTCATTTACTCTGATGATATCTTGGTTTATAGCCGGACGCTGGACGAGCACCTCGAGCACCTTCGCGCCGTGTTGGAGCGGCTACGTATCCCCAAGTACAAGGCAAACCGCGACAAGTGCAAGTTTGCCCAGCAAGTTACTACATGCGCTTCGTCAAAGGGTTTCAACGGATCGCTGCACCATTGTCGCAACTTCAGTCCCTCTTGGTGCCCTTCGAATTCAACGACGAAGCCCGACATGCGTTTCATATGCTGAAGATGGCTTCGCTCCAAGCTCCCGTCTTAAGCATCTATGACCCGACCTTGCCTACCAAAGTGACTACGGACGCTTTCGGCTACGGCATTGCGGCGGTTTTGGAACAGTATGACGGCACAGACTGGCATCCGGTTGAGTACTTCAGCCGAAAGGTGCCACCCATCAACACTCTTGATGATGCGAGGAAGAAGGAACTGCTAGCTTTTGTCACCGTACTTAAGCGTTGGCGTCACTTTCTCCTCGGGCGTTGGCGATTCAGGTGGGCAGCAGACACAATCCGTTGACTTATTACAAGAAGCAAGACACGGTTAGCGGCACGATTGGTCGATGGATGTACTTCATTGAGCAGTTCGACTTACCTCCAAGCACATTTCGGGCTCCTCGAACAAGGCATTGGATGCTCTCTCGCGAAGACCAGATTTTTGCGCCTTGGTGCACTCCACATTCGGCCTCGACGAGAACCTGCAACAACATTTCGTAAACGGCTACAAGACGGATCCGGGATTCTCCACACTCTATGCGGACTTATCATCGGATCACCCGCGGGCAAGCAATTATCGCATTGTCGACGACTACTTGCTTCTCCATACACGTGGCAAGGACTCGTTGTGTGTTCCCCAAGACCACATCTTGAGCACTCTCCTCCTTGGCGAATACCACGATTTGCGGATGGCGGGACACCTTGGCGTCACACGCACACTCGCACGACTCCGCCAACAATTTCACAGGCCGGACATCATCAGCGACGTCAACCGGTACTTTGAGTCATGTGCGGTTTGCCATCGGAACAAAGGGCGCCATCAGCTCCCATACGACGATCTGAAACCATTGCCGATTCCTCGGGAACGACGTCTTTCCACTGCTATGGATGTGACCGGTCTGTTCCCTCGCGATTGCCTTGGCCATGATGGTATTCTCATGGTCGTTGACCATTTGAGCAAGTACGCTCGATTTCATCCATGCAAGTATCATGCGACGGCTCCCAAGCTCGCACGACTTTTGCATACTGGCTGGTTTTGCAGCCACGGCGTTCCGGAAGACATCGTCAGTGACCTCGACACTCGTTTCATGTTAGCCTTTTGGACGACACTCATGGTGGAATCCGACAGCAACATGAAATCGAGTTTCGCACGACATCCTCAAACGGATGGGCAAACGGAATGTGCCCATCAGACTGTGCAGATGATGCTCCACACACTCATCCGCGCAGAACAAAGGGACTGGGTTGACCGCCTTCGCGAAATCGAGTTTGCCTACAACACTTCGGTGCAGCAGGCGATTGGCGTGACATTTGAGTTGCAACACGGTGGACGGAAAGGACGTATCTTCGCAGGCATTTTGCTTCCACAGGCTTCCGATATCGACGTCGCTTGCTCCCCCGCTTCTACACGGAAGTACAGGGAATTGCTGGCCAAAGCCCGCGCAAACATGCAGAAGGCCCAGGTCCATATGCAGCCAGCGAACCGCATCGCATCCCATGTCCAATCCGCGCGGGCGACCTGGTTTGGGTCACCTCCGGGGAAGTCGTGATCGAGCAGCACGTCTCGCACAAGCTCCTCCCTAAGTGGTTTGGACCATGGTGGAAGGTCACTTCAGCAGCTGGCGACGACCCCGCGGGTCCATCTTTCATCGTTGAGATTCCCCTGCATTTGACGGTCCACCCGATATTTCACGATTCAAAGCTCCTAGTCTACACCCTAGCCTTCGCAGCGGACTTCCCTGGCAGACGGCCACAGGACCCCCTTTCAATGGATGGTCATCAGGTCGACCACGTCATTGCCCATAGCAAGCACGGCAACAAGCCAATGCAGTACAAAGTTACATTCAAGCAATGCGATCCCGACGACACACGCTGGATTTCACGAGCTGACCTGAAGGCGACAACACCCCTCGTCTTCTTGGACCGACTGACACGTGGCCAAACTACTCTGGTGATTCCCTACACTTATAAAAATCACTAATGTGAGAATTCTTGGATCCGGACCGTCTGTGGACCTACAGGCCCAACGGCCCGGACTGGGCCCCGAACCTTGAACTGTGTCCTCGATCTTAAAGTTTAAGATGGCGCGGCGATCCAGGCCGTTCGGGTTTACTGGCCCGACGGCAAAGATCGCCCCGCGGTCTTAAACTTTAAGATGATGGGCCAATATGGGCTCTCGGACCTTGAACGGCCCGAATAGCCGCGTGCTGCTTGGGGAACCGGTAGGGTCTTTCAGACTGTTGCTGCGCGGGAAAGCGTTGCAGACCGTTGTTACCCGCCCGCCCAACTACTCTAGGTACTCGACGTGCTACGATACGCGACGACGTGCTATTCTACGCGACATGCAACAGCCCTACGAACTATCTTGGACGCTGCCTAGGCGACGAAGTCCTGCTACTACTCGGCAAACTACTACACGCCCTACGCACCCTTGCGACGAACATCTTGCTGTGTGCTCCCTACACCCTCTCTCTCTCTCTCCCTCTTTTTCTCTGTGTCTCTCTCTCTGTCTCTCTCTCTCTCTTTCTCTCTTTCTCTCTGTGTGGGCTGTTTGTGCAAAGGTGCAAAGGCTTGGTGAAGTGCACTTCGACATGCTTGATTTTGTGCGGCTGCGCGATGGGCGACTCAGGTTAGTGGGTTATTCCGTATCCCCTCTGTATGTGTGTGGGTGAGTGAGTGTGTGTGTGTGTGTGTGTGTGTGTGAGAGAGAGAGAGAGAGAGAGCTCCGTCGCCCTCTGCCACCCACTCCGCCGCCCTCCTCCGCCCTCTGCCACCCACTGCGGCGCCTTGTGCCACCTTCCATCTGTCACCCTCCCGCTGTCAGCCGCCCTCCCGCCTTCCCGCCCTCTCGCCTCCGCCACCCTCCCATCCTCTTGCCTTCCCGCCTCCGCCACCCTCCCGTGCCGCTCC